CTATAACGGTCCCACATGGCTCGCGTTGCGCCCGATCGCAGCGTGGCCCTGTAGGCGGCATCTTTTTTCTCTGCGGCTTCTTGACATTCCTCATCGTACCAGTTGCTCTTTCGGGCTCGCTGAAATCTAACAATAGTCGTGTTTCTTTGGTTATAAAGCGCAGGTCACTAACTTTATACTACTAGCACCGGGATAAAGAAATTACAGAAATTACCTCACTAAATTGGAATAAAAATTATATTTACGAGATATCTATTTAAATAAATGTACATATAACATAAAGGCTATTTATTTGAAGCAAGTTATAAGAAACAATGGCAGAATGTCTGTTTGTGTATGAATTCATTTGTCACGGCTACCAAACTTTGCGAATTATCAGTGAAACAAAACAAACAGACGGGATAATAATTGAACCAGATCTCTATCAGGATCATATCGTTGTTGAATTTGCGTGCAAAATTTGTATGCGGATTATTGGCTAAGAAAATNATTGAACCAGATCTCTATCAGGATCATATCGTTGTTGAATTTGCGTGCAAAATTTGTATGCGGATTATTGGCTAAGAAAATGTAGCTAGAGTTGCGACAGAGTTGCATTGTCTTCAGTTTATCAAGTTTATTCAGTAAAATCGCTGGATAAATTTATCAGGAATGTGTAAACGAGCTTCCATACAAATTTTGACAGTTCATTTATAAGGTTTACACAATTATAAGTTTATACGGTTACAATGCATTTATAAGGTTTGATGAATACCCTTACTGTTTCTTTATTCGAGCGGCGATATATAAGGTGGTGTTACTAGCCAAGGCGAATTAATATAAGGTGAAAGCAGGAGTACAAAAACAAAAATTTACATGTATTTTGTTTTTGCTTTGGCGGCATAAACTGTCAAAATCTGTAAGAGTGTGTTCAGAAATTCAAACAAATTTTTTCAATTTGATATCAGAAGCCGTGCGGCGAAACACATACACAAAATCAGCTGAGCTATTAAACCACCTTATATAAATTCGCCATGTTACTAGCTCAGCTGATTTTGTGTATGTGTTTCGCCGCACGGCTTCTCACATCAAATTGAAAAATTTAGTTTGAAGTTCTACACCAAGGCGAATTAATATAAGGTGGTGTTCAAGGCGAATTTATTNCATACACAAAATCAGCTGAGCTATTAAACCACCTTATATAAATTCGCCATTATACTAGCTCAGCTGATTTTGTGTATGTGTTTCGCCGCACGGCTTCTGATATCAAATTGAAAAAATTTGGTTGAATTTCTGCACACACTCTTACAGATTTTGACAGTTTATGCCGCCAAAGCCAAAACAAAATACATGTAAATTTTTGTTTTTGTACTCCTGCTATCACCTTATATTAATTCTCCTTGGTGGTGTTGATGACGAACTAAATTTTCGCCGCGGTACTACTGAATAGGAGCGTTCCTTATCTCCCAGAAATAGTCAGAAAAAGTCCGAAGTAGTCAGATTTAGTCCAAAAAGCGTTATTTAACTCGGAAATGACAGCAAAAATGGGAGAGCAACACTCGGTGAGAGTGACTCTCATCATTCCGAAGTAGTCAGAAGAATTTTTTCTAATTCTAAGGCTTTCTGCACATTGGTCGTCCAATCATAGTTGCCTCATCGTCACAATCATAATGCAACGATTACATGACGCCTACACTTTCGCACACTCGGTCGTGATATTTCAATTCATTTGGCGTCTAAAAATTCACTTGGAGCAGGTATTTTTTGTTTTTCTGGTTGATATTTTCGTGAAGTATTGACAAAAACCTGCAATTTTTAAAATATAGACTGTGCTGCAACAATTCTAGACATCATTTTTCAGTAATATCTCTTCTTTTCTTTTCCTGAAATGTGGTTTGAGCATGCAAACACAGGCTTTTTACAATTTCGTCATATTTTTTAGTTAAAACGCTCACATTTATTGAATTGTAATGCAATTATGCACTTTTTAATAATTTCCACAGCTTTTATGAAAAAAAAGCTATTTTTTTTGCAATTTTGATGCAAATATTAACTTTTTCACTAATTTTTCACCATAAAATGTAAACAAACAATGCGTGCACAACGATAAGCAAACGACAGTGTCGTAATTATCCGTTTCTGCATCTTCTACAATTTGCCGATAACTAGCCGATAACGACAAGTGTGCCAATCTCCTTTGAAATACATGTGCTCGGCTCAAAATTTCAGGGCGAGTCGATAACGCAACTATGATTGGACGACAAGTGTGCAGATAGCCTAATTCTTTAAAGAATACGCAAAAAGTGAGAATAATCTAAAAAGTAAAAAAAGTGAAAAGACGTACCTCGGCGAAAATCTAAATTCGCCATCAACACCACCTTGTATAAATTCGCCTTGGTTTATGCCGCCAATGCAAAAAGAAAATACATGTCAAGGCGAATTTATAGCTATCACCTTATATTAATTCGCCTTGATAAATGTAAAGTTTTGTTTTGGTACTCCTGCTATCACCTTATATTAATTCGCCTTGTCCTGAGCGCTAACTTTAAATTGTTGATGACGAAGGGAGATTTGATAGAAAAGCCTTTTATTGATCGCCGAAATGTATTGTAAATTGTTTTGAAAAAAGTAAAGTGCAATTTCATAAAGTCCCAAAGCATAAGTTCGAGGGTTATTTGGATATCTTAGAATTAAGGCGGTAAGCACTCAATGCATGTTGGGGCTGTTCAGGTTGTGGAAGTGGTCTTGGATTTGCAGTTTGCAATTTTTTTTCTTGCTGGCATGGCAACCGTCCGCATATTATCGTGAATTTACAAATGCAACAAATATGCAAATCCAAGAGCGTATGCTCAAGATCCTGAACAGCCCTATTGTTCGATACCTACCGCTCCATCTTGAGAAGCGAGCGGGTACTGTTTGCATATTTGTAAAGCGATTTTGGGGAAATCTAGCTATTTGTACAACGATTTAGTGGTGGTGGGCGGAGGGGCGAGGGCGTGGCTCCCCAACCCCCCCAAACGAAAGTGGATGGACGCCGCTTTATGAAAAGTCACCCCACACCCCCTGCCCCGCCCTAAAGACCTCTTGGGAGCTGTTTGAAAACAGCGAAAATTTAGATTTTTTCCAAAACGATTATAACCCTCACTACTCTTTTATCTGTTGCCCAAGAAGAGGGGCTGAGCACCTTTTTCAGAGAGCACCTTCCTGCGTAGGCGGCCTTCGGCCGCATTCCGTGGTTATAACCTTCACTAAGTAGAATTCTCCTTTCTGTGTTGCCGAAGAAAAGGGGCTGAACAACTTTTGCAGAAAACAACTTACTGCGTAGGCGGCCTTCGGCCGCGCTTAGGGATTATAACCCTCACTAAGTAGAATTCTCCTTTCTGTTTTGCTAAAGAAGAGGGGCAGAGATATTTTGTGGATATTTTTTTTTTGACAGCTCAGCTCGGAAACTTGTAAAAAATACCATATTTCCAACCGACATTATTAATAAATTAGTGCACAGACATAGTAAATTTATTTTTTTATTGTCTTTTTATTTTTTTAAGCTTATACAACTGAGCCTATCATATAAACTAAGCAAACGCAGCGCTAGCTACACAGGCTAACGGCTCTCTGGGGAGGACTTGCTGATTAGATGCGTCGTAGGATATCTGAGTCCTTTAGAAACTTGTAGATCTTAGAGATGTTGTCTTTAGATGGATTAATGAGAAGCTGTAGGGGCTCACTTGACTCAAAATTTCGTCGTCTGTGCATCTCCAGTGCAGGGCAGAAAGTTAGTACATGTAGAACACTCACTGTTGCAGAAAGGGCATGGGTTTGGCTGATTGCCTTGTAGTAGATATGCGTTCGTGATTATGCTGTGACCGATGCGGAGCCTTATATAGGGTGTGATGTAATTTGTCGGGATACATGACGGGTAGCATAGTTTCTTTCGGGTAGGATTAATTCTGGCATAATGGTGTCTATAGTTCACCCAATCTGAAATTAAATGGGTTTGTCGCTGCTGAAAAACAAGTCGGTTGGCGTCGCTTTTACATATCAAGCTAGATGTGATAGTCGGAGTTCTCCTCATTACTTTCGCTGTTGTGTCAACTGCTAAATTACCGTTGATACCCGTATGTACTGGAACCCAAATTAGTCTTGAGTTTTGAGGGTGCGATATCATCATGTTTCTATGTAATCGATAATGTAGTTGCTGTTGTGCAGATTTTTGATGCCTTCAAAACAAGAGCGACTGTCCGACCATATTATGAATTTACCTTTGTATTTTATCGCATATTGCATAGCGTGAAGGATCGCAACAGCCTCCGCAGTGAATATCGACCAGAAAGGGAGGAGTATTCCATACGTTATGTTTACACCATTTTCTTTAACTACAGCAAAAGAAATGTGACCCCCCTTGGAGCCATCCGTAAATAAAGGATGCCACCCGTTTGCTTTGGATTGACCTGCTGTATGCAAAAATCGAGTATTATATTCTGCAGTCGTGGTGCTGGATTTTTTAAGCTGGCTTAGTTCATTAAGGAAAGATGGTCTTAATAACCAAGGCGGGTGATCAGTTTGTCTTGGTAGCAACAATTTGGACGGTAATCTGTTTTCTCTTGCAAAGAGTGAGCATTTATAGATCGCTGATGGAATTTTAGGCCGAGTTGTGCGTGCCATGGCCAGTTGAAAGTCCTTGCGTAGGAAAGTGTTGGAGGCGAGCAAGAGCTTCGGATAGAGTTTTTTTATACTATCCTCCAGGTTATCGACGAGACAAGGTAGCCCAGATTCCGCCAATATGTTTTTGATTGGAGATGTTGGGAATGCGCGTATAGATCGACGATCTGCTGCGTGGTAAGGGGCATTCAACATTTTCAGGTTGCTTTTCGCATGTATTTCATATATTTCCAGACCATAATTAATAACTGAAGCAATGAGGCCTCTCGTAACACTAATCAGCAAGTCCGGTCCATTGAGCGAGCGTTCAGAAGATAGATATTTTACAATATTTAACTTAGTATAAAGCCTGCATCTAACATATTTACAATGCACTTTGTAAGAATACTTAGAATCCAACACTAAGCCTAGAAACTTAAGTGTGTCTGTACAGGTGATATTTACATTGTTGTGGGTCAATAAAGGAAGAGTACAGTTTAGTTTCTTATAAATAGGTTTGTTCGTCGAGCAAAAAATTTGTACGCATTTGTACGAATTATAACGATTTTTGCCCAAATCGCGTTCGTGTNCCGAAAGAATATTAAAAATTCTATAAAAATTTTTTATGTTTGAAATGCAACCGTGGACGCCAACTGGCAGCGAAACTTGCAAATTTGCGTTCGTGCAGAAATTTGCAAGTTTCTCAACATGAGAGAGAATTCGAGAGAATTTTTTCTTACTCTCTGATATTTTGAGTGTTGGATAATTCTTGCTGGATTTTCGACGAACAAACCTAATATCATGATAAAAATATAGTAAGGTAGAACCGCTGAGAGTCACTTTTAAGATTCTTGACGTTTCCAAACAATTTAATTTTTAAATTTACTCACAAACCGTTGTCAATGGATAGAATTGGATAGCGGACGCTGGAGATTAGAACACTGATTTTGCGGTTTGACAAGAAGGATTTTATGAAGTTGTATATTCTTTGCCCGACATTCCATTTATTGAGTTGTCTTAGCACCACATGTATTCCTATGCGATCAAACGCTTTTAAAAATCAAGCGATAGAAAGTGGTATGGTTCTTGTGGGACAAAGCATCGGAGATTACATGATCAAGATGAAGGAGGGCGTCGAGCGTGCTTTGACCTTTTTAAAGGCAACTTGGTTGTGGTGCATGAATTGGTTCGAATGTATAAACAAAGACAGTCTGGTAGCGATCATTTTTTCCAGCAATTTACCAAGGCAAGGAGTAGGGATATGGGACGATAACTGCTTGCTTCACAAGAGGGTTTATTCGCTTTTAGGATAATAGGATAAGTTGTTTTATTATTGGGTACGATATCTTGTTGTTGTTGTTGTTGTAGCGGCTACAACAATCCCGCCCAGGTCGGTTGGTATCTCAGTCGTTGTCGTCAAGTTCCACTAACAGCAGCCCTAGGAAGCGTGCAGCTTCTGCGGGGTTGGTCCACAGGGACAAGGCCGTTAGGGTTGTCGGGTTTTCCGGGCATGCGAATATATGTTTCGAGTCATGTGGGGTCTCTCCGCATGCCGGACACTCATTTGACATATCCTCATTCAATCTACTCAGGTAGGAGTTTAACCTGCTGCAGTAGCCGGAGCGAAGTTGTGCTAGTGTCGTTCGCGTCTCCCGAGGCAGATGAAGCTCCGTCTCGTCTGTGTCCGGGGGCGGTATGCCTAGAACGGCATTCACAGGTCTAGAGTCTAAATAAATCGAGACTGATTCCCTGTGAATGCCGTTCAGGGCCAGTCGGAAAGCTGTCGGGTCCAGAGGTTGCTTGATGACCCTCTGGACTTCGTCCGTCAGTTCTTATAGATGCCTCCTGACGTGCCTAGGCGAGGGCTCCTCTGCAAGCAGCTGTCTGTTTGGGTGGCCACT